ACACTTCCTATTGTAGTTAATGCATATTATCCATCTCAGGAAGGCTTTGTTATTGTTGATATTGTTAACCTTTGTACCAGTTCTAAGGGTAACATTCCTGCTTAAAAGATTGTTTCTCTGACGATTTTGGTTTTTAACATTTCTTATCCTTTTTTTTGTGTATATATATATATATATATATATATATATATATATATATATATATATATATCTGCCCCTTAATTCAATCATTTATCATAATTTTTTTTAGAATTTTCTATAAGCATTGCTTCCAAACTGTTACAAAACAAACCTTAAACTATTAAGGGCTCAGAATATTTAAATAGGGGATGGGTTATACAGGGGAGAAACTATTAATCATGGTGACTAAGGAAGTTAGGGTTGTGGTCTCTACTGATTGTGGGAACCAGGATAGGGGGGTTGTTGATCATTGTCTCTGGTCCTGATGTCAGCCATGGTCTCATCCCATTTTGTTTCTTGTTTTGTAAGGGTATGGTCAGTGAAGTTATTCAGATTTTCTGGGCCTGGAGCTGAAATGCAACTGAGGCCCAATGTTATCTTTGGTTTGACTGAAACTCTTTCTATGGACAACAGACCCAAGGCTTTGTTCCTAAGACTATTTAATGCTGATTAGAGCCTGCTTTCTGAGGCAGGCAGGGGATCCAAGGTGCTGGATGAGGCCAGTTAGAATCAAAAGGAGAAAAGGACATATTAAATAAATGAAAGTTGTATGTTTACATTTCCATTTTGTGTAGTTAGTTTCAGGAGCAGAGAAAAGACAGTGGGCTGGAGTACAGTGCATGCGGGGAAATGGGACAAGGTATTTTGATTAAACGAAGCTTCAGACACCCAAGGGGAGATGTGTTCAACAGACAAATGCTTTCAAACTTTCATGAGCTGATGAGTCCTGCCAGGATCTTGTTAAACATGCACATTGTGATGTAGTTAGTCTGGGGTGGAACCCAAGATTCTACATTTCTCAATGTGTTCCAAGTGATGACAACTCTACTGGCCATGAAACACATTTTGACTAGTGGGATACAGGCATTTTTAAACTGTGAATCCATAGTTAAACATAAGGGAGTAAAGGAGGAAACCAAGCAATTAAAGAGGTGGCAGGACATGAGAGAGAGAGAACAGTGTCCCTGAAATCAAATATACTTCCAATAGGTGGGAATGCACAGGTTGGTAACTACAGCCTGAGGACAAAGAAGTAGATTTGGTTTTAGCATTTAACAGCTAACCTTTCTTTCATAGAGTAAATTAACTTCTAGTACTGCTCTGGGTGGGTTTCAAGCTTTATCATTCTTCACAAGCCCTCACTCCACCCCCAACTCTTAATACCAAAAGATCACACTTCCAAATAAAATAGAGACCAATTAACAAAATCAACTAATTTCCCCTTAAAATCCTATACACCTCAAATGTAAAACTTTCTACTTCCTTCTTTTCCTCCTATCTCAAAGATAATTGGCTATAGGTCCTTTTTTTTAATTGTTAGTAACTCACCTATTTTTAATTTTGCTATAGTCTCACCATAAAATGTGTTCACATTTTGTTTTGTTTTTCCCCCCTACCACTCATTGATCTGTTCAAAGTCACCAGTAACATTAGTTGGTCTATCCTAATGGTCTATTTGCCACATAAGTGATAGTTTAAAGAAGGAACATGTGATTATATTCTTCCCAAGGATACATGAGAGGAAGTTTGCAAATGGGTGAAGGAACATACTTCCGTTGATTTTTAAAAAAAAGACATTCACAGACAACAGTGGGATGAAGGCCTGGGGTGGGAGGGATTTGGGTGGAGGGGGCAAGGTAGGGAAAACAGAGGACATCTGTAATATTGGAAACAATAAAAAAGGAGCACTGTGTAGAACGTGAGGCCTGGCAGGGCTACAACTTTGCAACTCTGAGGAGCAAGAACCTGAGGGTGAGCCAACACTCTGAGACAGGAAAAGCAAGAAAATGGGAGAGATTTTTTTTTTCTTGTAACATAACTGAAAAACAGGGTCCAATGAGGGTGGAAATGCAATCTTTCTGAAATATTTGAGATAATTTTTGTTGTTCCTTAAGCCTATCAAATTAAGGTTTTATATTATCTGCAATTCAGAGTATTCAACTGATTTCATTCTACCATAGCAGAATGTACTCTTATATCAGAAATAGTTCTTGCCCTTCCCCTCCCCACCCCATGACCTATCCCTATCTCCAAAATTATCCTTTTCACTTTATGGCCTGCCCCACATAAGTACAAAACTTATATCTTCTTGTACTCAAAGCAATTTGCAGATGATTATTGATATTCACAGCAATCCTTCACTTCCCTATTACTTCAGTTCTGATTTCTGGCTGGTACCTCGGCCTTAGTATGTATCTTTTCTATACAATTGAGATAGGGATGATATTTGTGGCTTATTTACTGAATGCTAAATCACTTGTGACTCATATCTGGAGTTCATCATTTTGAACATACAGGATGCACACATACAGAAATAAAGTCATAGAAGTGCAGCTGAAAGAGTATTTATTAAATGTTACAGTGATCATAATACATAACATAAAAGGGCATTCAGAATGTTCTCAGAAAGTCATAGCCAGTCTCCATTTATTTGGCTTATGAATTTCCTGAGTCCAGAATTTAGAAAATTCCTATTTTTCAGTGACTTAGCCTTAAGGACATAGACTATAATAGGTCATGAACACATACATGTGATAAAATATATCATATTTTCTAGAAAGGATATTTTCCTTGATATAAGGGCCATTCCCATAGAAGATGATTTTGACATGTATGTTGTTAAAGGTCATAATTACTTTGCTGTCTCTAAGTCTTTTTTCCCAAGGGTAACCCTTGCATGGGTTTATGTGTGGGTGGGTTACTTGAGTGGGGTTTGCAATGATTCCAAGTTTCCCTGGTTAGTTGAAATGTAGCTTTAGGTGGGTTTCTGCCTATGGGCTTCAGGCAGCTTTATGTGATTATGTAATTTTTCGTTCCCCCAAACCAGAAAAGAAACTTATTTTCAGCTAGCAGAGGGCTGTAGGTGGTTTGGGTGGAGGAAAGATGACAAATACCTAAAATAAACGATTTCATGGTGAGTGTGATTAGAAGTATCAAAATATTTTTAGAAATGATCAAATCAGTAGACCAATGTGTGTGCTAGGCTGCGCATTGGGTTTCTCACTATTTGCTTTGCCTTTTAAACAGTCTGTGCTTTTTATTTCAAAACAGCCAAGTTTTGCCCATAGCTGCTTCTATAAGCAGTTTGCATCAACAGATGCTTTTCTGAATATCTCAAAACGGAAACCATCACCATTCTTTGAGAGATAGGAAAAGTTCATCTCAAAAGGTGAGGAGGTGTATATTCTGCTAGGCACCATCAGGGTAGGCGTCCCATCACTGCCCTAGTTCACAGGGCTGCGTTCTTTGTGAAGGGAGAAGCACAGGGGGTATGTAATAAGCAGATCCCACAAAGAGCTGCAATTTTGCTTGCTTCTGGCACTGCTCCCACCTCCAAACACTAACCCAAATGCAGAGACTTGCGGATCACAAGCTCCTGCTCTCCAGCCATCACAACTCAGATGAGCCTGCCTCTTTCATGGAAATAGTTTGGTTTTGTCAATTATCAATATGTTTCCCTCCTGATTCTTCTTATATCTTTAAAGTTAACTTAGTTGTCATCAGTACTTATTCTGAATTCCTTTCCATTTCAACGTTTTAATGAATATTTAGTAGAAAGTCCACAATGCACACATTCATATTTTAAGTTATATTCAAATTTATTCAAAGATAAGATCGCCCAATATTATTGGAGAAGTCTACATAAATAATAGAACTGATGTTTTAGAGACACATGTAATAATACTGTCTCCATATTATTTGCATAAGTTACAGAAATGTTTTTCTTAACATAGTCCTCCTGTTCCTCTTCTCAACTTGATATATTACTTTTTGCTATTTCTGGCAATTCTTTTAGTACAAAAGATAAAAGTTCAGCCACTTCAACTTTAAAAATAACCATAAAAAAAGTCAACAACAAGATGTGATTTAATCAAAATGCCCTGAATCAATGAAAAACAGTTTATTTTATGAATTAAAAACTGGCTTACTAACACATTCTTAGGATTATAATGACATTTCCTCCAGCAATTTGGAAATGATCTGACAATTATGAATGTGGATTAGGCTACATGTATCAATCTATTCTCATCATTGCAGTTTAGACAGCAAGATGAAAGTTGTGCCTTCTGTTTCTCCACAGTTGAGTAACACCACGCTGGTTTTTACTCTAACTGATGAAAGAAAGAGTATGGTAAACTGGAAGCATGTAACAAACATGGGAGGTCGTAATAAGTTTCCAGGATATGGCGCCTTGCCATTGACCACAGCCTCTTGGAACAAGATAAAGTCATTGAAATAGTTAACAGATGTTAGCCATACTTGAAATGTAGGCGTTCTATTGCTAAAAATTATGTAGGGTCGGCTGGAGATCTGGCGCTTGGTCCATTATTTAACTGACTTGGCAAATGGGAAGCTGAGATCCAAAGGCATAGAGCATATCAAGGCCACACACTTTGCACACTATGTAGGGCTCATAAACTACTAATAGTACATACCCGGTGCTAAGCCAGCTTGATTAAGTATTTCACAGAGTATTTGGTATTTAGGGAAATCTTAGCGAAAGCTGAACTCAATTTTCACGTCTACTAAATTAACAAGTGAGTTCTATAGGAACAAAAAAGTAGACTTTTTTCCATGTTCAAAGGCATATCTACAAATTTTCTTACTTAGCTTCAACTTGTGATTTCCCCTATGACTGGTTTCTCTTTGTGTTGACTACAAAATGGATTTACTTGCATTCTTTTGAAAAGTATCTCTTTTTCACCTCCAACTTGTGTCTATTCCTTCACATTTCAGAATAATTTGACAGTAATGATCTTTAGATGAATATCTGTAGCTGAAATGGATCTTCTCAGCCTTGAGTCACAAATTCATTCATGTCAAGCATTGTAGGAGGCTTGTGCTACCTTAGAGTTTGTCGTTTTATTTACAGCTTTGCAAATAAAGTCACCAGCTTCCATTACTTTGTGAAGATTCACACCCTGGTAAAGAAATCAGGGATACCAGAGGGGAGGAGGCATTTGGAAGGAAGGGGACAAAACAGATTCCTTTTAATTTTATTAACAGTTATTTAACCACTTAAAGTTACTAAAAAACACATTGTTCATTATTGATTTGGGGGCAAGATTTGTTTTCATGAACCATGCAGTCAAATTTTAGGTTCTTCTTCTTTATTAAAATCTATCTTGAATTTGATCCTTGTATAAAACCACAAGCTGGCCACACCTGGATAAATCAGTATAATTCAGGGTGGCACCTTGGATTCTAGGAAGAACAATTCTGAAACTAGAAACAATCTACAAATATCAGTGATGGGCAATTAAAATAATAATGGTTTGGAGAAGTTTAGGAAAAAAAATACCTCTTTACAAAGAAACTTGATAGAGCTATAAGATATACAGGACAGTTGAATATATAATGTTTTTAAACCATATTCAGAAAAACCACTTTGGTGTTCTATTGGAGGAGGGAGCTGTGGGTCAAATGAAATGAAGAATATTTAGGGAATATCTGGAACTTGTTTGCCTGGGTACTCTGAAAGTTTGGTAAATCCATGTATGACAGATAGGCCATTGAGTATGAAGGACAAATTTAAGGCATGATCCTCAGCTCTAGAACTTGGCATAACCAAAGTTCACCTTCCAGGTTTCCACCCAGTACCTATATTGTCACTGGGGGAAGCAGAGCATTAGTGGATTAATCAGAGAGTTGTGCTTAGGCAGCTTTTCATAAACTTATTTTCTCCCTCAATATGAACTAGAAACAAGGTGGACTTAAAATTGAACAGATTCAGACTTCCTTGCTATTGAGTAGTTGTTTTTTTTTTTTTTTTAATATTTATGTGAGTCTGTAATTTTCTTACGTATAAAAAAATCAGGGCTTTTTATAACAATGATCATAAAGAGATCATCATTCTAATATACCCACTTAAAGAGATCATCATTCTAATATGACCAACTAGTCAAGAAAAAATAAGTACCCGATTACTTCTCTCTTTTAATTGATTTGAGACAGAGAGGAAGGGAGAGGGAGCAAGTTATTATAAAACATGACCTGATACATATTCTGCATCTTCTAAGTTCAATGCAATCATCAGATCTCCGAGAAAAGATTTATTTTTCTCCTGTTTCTGTCATGACTATACATTGCTGATAGAAATGATTAAGCTACTTTGTAAGTGAAATAATATTTCCTAATCATAGAAAATAGTCAATAGCTTTTGGTGTTTACAAGAAATAGCTTTTGGTGTTTAGTGCCACATGATATAAATGAATGTTGAGCATCTCTATGTAACACAAGTATAGAGTGTGAATAAGCTATAATAATTGCTCTCTGGCTGCATGGGAGCTAGACACAGATATAAGATAATTTATTCTACAACCTCACTGAAGGTGGGTTCAGAGGTAGAAGCATGGAGGGTAGCATGGGAGCACTAAGGAGAAGAACCCAACACTATGGGCCTGCGAATGGGCAAAAAGATGCCAGAAGAAGAATTTTTGAGGATGGTGGTGCTTCACTCTTGGGTGACATCAAGTATGGAAAGAAAGGCCATTCCAAGTGATTGTAAAACCATGAGTGGTGAGAAATAGAATGGTGTAGAAATGAATACTGCAGGCAATTTTGGTGTTGCAGAAGCATTAATATGAGTAGGAGAAAGAGAAGAGGAGAGAGGGGAGAAAGGTGACTGGAGAGATAGGGGAGAGGGAAAAGGATAGAGAACATTCCATTTTGTAATCCAGCTGATGCTTTTATATCTCAGAAACGATTATGAACCTCTAATCATCTGTGAACTGTTTTTCTTGCCTTTCATATATTTTTTATCTAAAAAGAAAAATCTGCCTTATGGACGGAATAAGTCATGCTAACAAGCATGTGGCCAAACAAGGTGCTTATTTGGATGGAGCACGTGTGTTTCATGTAACACTTGCAAAGAGACTATTCTTGTTGTCCAGTGTCTCACATGCTAAGTATTGTGGAGCTCTACGCCTCCACTGACCATTTTAAATGTCAAAGAGCCTTGGGCTCTTTGCCAGAAGCCTTAGTTGTCACTGAGAGAAAATCAAGATATCCCTTTTCTCCAAGGGAAACATCTATTAAAAAAAATCCCCAAACTGTGAAAGCAATAATCATAACAGGAAAGACACAGGCTCTAATTCACAAAGCAGTAAAACCAAATCAGATAAAACATTTTAAAAAAAGTTCTTGGAGGTCATGCAGCACTATAAAAATGTGAAATGGTAGCATTATTGGTGATTGAACTAGAGCAATAAGTTACTTTATAAGGCTCCCCAAAGAATTTTTATTATATTTTCCCACTGTGCATTTTAGCAAATAGCAAAAGTATAATAAAACTTTGACCTCAAAAGTGCTTCCCAATCTGAGATGCATTCCAAGCTGGATCTGCAAGGAATACATGAATATTAAAATATGTAAAACTCACTTACTGTATTGAGCCCCAGGCCATTAAGCATATATACCAAATCCTCGGTGGCTACATTTCCAGAAGCACCTTTTGCATAAGGGCAGCCACCTAATCCAGAGGCTGCAGAGTCCACCACATTGATCCCCATCTGAAAAACAAACGGAAACACCCAGGGCTTGTATATTTCTGGCGTCTAAATTGTTGCATTTCTACTTAACCTGTTCCAAAGAGCAAATAAGCAAAATCTGAACCTTTGTCCAAACATTCACTTACCCACCTGCTGCTAGAACAGTCCTTGGAGTGCTGCTTTCTTTTCTAACTAATCTCATTTTTTTTTTTAAGGCTAACAGAATCTACTAAGGATTTGGGGAACTAGACTAATCATAGATCAACATTAGGATGGTGTTTTCATTGCTAGCAACACATTTTTCTTTCGTAGGGGGTGAAGCCTAAAGTAAGATGAATTCACACACCTAGATTGTATTATGTGACCTCAAATCTTTTAAGTTTTATCCTAAAAGCATTCTATAAACAACATGAACTATTTCTAACATACCAACTCAAAATCAAGGTGCCTTCAAACTTTCTGGTGACGGTAGTGGCAGCATCCCTGCACTTGAAGTATGATTTTTGTGGGTTCAATTCATCCAGTCTTTTCTGAGCCATTATTTTATACACAATACCCTGCTTCTTTGGGAGTAGCAAAGAAATATTGAAGAGGCAAAGCATCCACTACTAATAATAGCATCAGCTCACATTTACTAGGTCCTCACAAAGCGCTGGTGGTTATTCTTAACACCTCATGAGTATTAACTCTCAATCCTCACAAAAATCCATGTGGTAGGTGCTCTTCTATGCCCCCAAATCACAGATGTAGAAACCCAACTACAGAAGGGTCACACGTTTTGCCCAAGGTCACCTCTGTCTCCAGAGAATTCACATTCTGCTGTGATCTGTGGCCTCTAAAATCATTTGAGTTGGTACATGTTAATGTGTCTGGGGACATCGGAGGTGGAGGGGCTCTGTGTGTGCTGGAAGACATGAGCACAACAGACTCTCTGGAAAGGGCCCTGGAGATGAGATTTGAATAACAGGAGAAGAGAGGCAGACATATCATGCCTCCGTGAAAGATGATAACTGGGTAATCGAAAGCTACCAGGAGGCCCTATCTGATTCACTCCCGGGCATTAAAGGAAAAGTAACATGACCTCATATAAAATGAGAAGCACCTGAAAGCAAGAGCTCTCAGCCAACCTGCTAGATCAGCAGTTCTCAATCACAGTCAGAATCCCCATGCCCAGAACGCTAGATCCCCAGAGTTTCTGATTCAGGAGGTCTTGGCTGAAACTTGAGAATTTGAATTTTTAACAAGATCCCAGATGCTGCTCACACTGCTGCTCTGGGGATCACTGTTTCCTTTCTCTTTTCTTTATTAATAACCTTTTTATTTTAGAATCGTTTTCGATTTTCAGAAAAAAATGTAGTACAGAACATTCCCATATATTCTGTACCCAGTTTCCCTTATTGTTAACATTTTCAGGATTACAGTCTCGTTGTCATGGCTCATGAGTAAGAATCAAAAGTTATTATTAACTGAAGTCTATATGTTGTTCAGATTTTCTTAGTTTTTAACCTTATGTCCTTCTGTTTCAGGAACTCCTTCAGGTCACTGCACTGTATTTAGTGCTCTCCTTTCCTTAGGCTCCTCTGGCCTGGGTTGTTTCCCAGACTTGCTTCCTCTTTGTTGACTTGGATGATTTTGAATAGTACTTGTAATGTGTTTTGTACAATGTTTTTCAGTATGGGTTTGTCTGATTTATTTTTCTTCATGTTTGCAATGAGTTTTGGGGTAAGGTGAGGAAGATGACAAAGGTGGTTCTTAATTCCTCACATCCAGGGTACTGTGATATTATGATTGATAAAAATACACATATTTGGTCATTCAGGTGTCCAAGAATATCGTAATATCTCATATTTGGTCTTCCGTGGTTCCTGGCTAGAGTGCCTAAACTCTTAGGATTTCCTAAATGATGAGAATTAGAAAGGAGGCTTCTGTTGTTCATGAGGTGACACTGGAATCTCACCTTAGGGATGGGGGCTGGTTGTTGTCTGGAGGGTTAAAATTTTCAGTCCCATTTCTGACCTTGAGGCAGAAGAAAGGCTGGAGGCTGACTTAATTTCCTAAGGGCAGGGAGTTTGGAGAGCTTCTGGGTTGGTGTACCTGTACAGGTGCTGGGAGAGGCATGTCCTTACAGAGGGCATGGAATCTCTGTGATCTTCCCTGTACCTTATCCTGTGTGTCTCTTCTATCTCGCTGTCTGAGTTATATCCTTAGATCATAAACTGGTGACCTAGTATGTAAAGTATTTCTCTGAATTCTATAAGTCATCTAGCAAATTAGTTGAACCCAAGGAACAGGTGGTGGGAACCTGATTATGTTCCCGGTCAAAAATACTGGGAATAATCTGGAATGGCATCTGAAGTTCAAGGAGGGGATTGTGGGAAATGCTAATCTAAATGCTCATCTGTGACTCTAATCCCATTGGTTAGAGTCACAGATGATAACTTGGGCTTGTAACTGGTATCTGAAGGTGGGAAATGAGGCTTGTAGGACTGAACATTTTAACTTGTGGAATCTGATACTACCAGCATCAGAATTAAGTTGAATGGTCTAGAATTGTCAGTTTGGGGCAGAAACCTCCTCCACCTCCCCAACACTGGAACTGAGTTCAGAAACCCAAATAGATAAAACTTTGACTGATGGCATTAGACTTTATCACCTGGCTGAGGTAATATTTGCCAGGTTTTGTACTGTGAAGCCCCATGCCTCACTTCCTATACTGTACTCTTTGGGGGAAAAAACTGATACTATGTACAGCTCATACTTAAGGAGTGGACAATATCTACATAAACTATTCGGAATTCTATAAGGAAGATTTGTCTATTCTCCCATATTTGTTTGCAAACATTTGTTTATATCAGTAGGGACTCATAGGCATTCTTCACTTTTGGTTATAATCCAGTGTTATACATTGTATTGTTCAAATTGTTTGAGATTGGGGAGCATGCCTTTTAAACAACTCTTCTAGATTATTTCTTGTGAGACTTAAGATATGTTTACTTAGACTCATCAGGACAGAACCATCGTCCAAAGCCCTTGATGTCTTTGGGGCCCAAAAGAAGTTTGCAAATATAATCTGTTTGCTTCTCCACCTTAATTTCTCCTGATTATACTGGTACTTCTCAACTTGGGAAGGTATCAAAAGCTCTCCCTCCATTACCAAAATCTCTCTCAAATAGTGATCCTATGAGGTTAGTCTTATTCAGATGTTAACAAGTGATCAGCTAAAGTACTTGTCCATTTAAAACAGGGGTGGGCAACCTTTTTTTCTGCCAAGAGGCATTTGAATATTTATGGCATCCTTCGCAGACCATACAAAATTATCAACTTAAAAAGTAGCCTGCTATATTTGGTCAAACATTTAATTAACTCACCCCTAATGCCTTGGCAGGATCAGACAAAATGATTTAAGGCCCACAGGCCAGATGTTCCCCACCTCTGATTTAGAATAATTTATCTAAGTTGCTGTGAATCAAAATAATAAGTCTAAGAACTATGTGCTGGGAATGAAATATGTGGTATTGTCCAGTAATTGGGAAAGACTAATGTTAGGATGCTGGCTCATTTCTGGGAGTCTGCCATTACATCCAGTAGGCAGAGGGATTCTTGATTTACAGAAGTCTATAAATTCAGTAGAATTTAATCTACCCCTCACCAAGACAGAAGTTTCACTGGTTCTCAGTCCTGGCTACCCTTTATAATCACCTTGGGACCTTTCAAAAGGAACACTCAAACTTCTCCCCAAACCAATGATATCACAATTTCTTCTTGGAAATGAGTTCAGGTATTTGTACCAGGAGATTCTTTTGTGTAATGAGGTGTGGGAACCCCTGAGGCAGAGATTCCCTTCCATTTTTCCTTTATCAGTCCTGGGTCTGAGTCAGCTTTAATTTTAGAGAAGCTCTGTACCCTGTGGGCAACAGTTAATTAAACATGGCTGTGGACTTTTCAAGGACATCAGTTACTGAAAGAAGACCCAAAAAAGTATGAGGGAGCAAAAGCCAGCAGTACTGGCATGGTAGGTGAAAGGTGGTGTCAGCCCACCATGAGGGCTGGAATCCACATATCATGTTCCTTTCCCCACCACTGAGGATGAAAGCTCAGCCACAGGGCCACACGGCCTTAATTGGCCTTTTGAGAGAGAGTGAAAAAAACAGGTCACTCCTACCTTGTAACTAAAGCCCTACTGAGTGTAACTAATGGAACCTGTTGGGTGGCTAACATGAAAGGATTATTTGTAATAAAATAACCAGAGTCACGAGAGAGGACAAAATTAACCAATGTCAAAATTGAGCAAACATAAATAAAGATAGAAAAACAATCTCACATTAAGTCAAGACTGAGAGCAAACTAAAACACTGTGGTATTTTACACTTTCAGCTCAAAAAGATTATTAGCAATGAAATAGCATAGAGCAACAGAATATGGGGTGGGGGACTTCAACAATAGGAGATTGCACAAACAAAAAGTTGTATGAAAGAAGTCAGGTGCAAAAGAGGGCATCCATTATGATTCCATTAAGATAAGTTTTCCAACAGATAACAACTAATGCTATTAGAAGTTAGGACAATAGTTCACCTTTGAAAGGTAAATACAAATGGGCACAATTAGAGCTTCCCAGGATGCTGACAACATTCCATTTCTTGAACTGGGCTGGTCACACCAATGTCAGATTGTGAAATTTCTCAGAAGTTTGTGTTTATAAAATTGGTCAATTTTCTGTGTGTGCATTAGACTTTGATAAATATCAATGACAAAAAAAGCAGTCTTGTTGAACATTCAGGTAAACAGAACATTTAAACTGGTAGTGAAATAAATTGTAATTATTTTTTGAGGGGCAATTAATCAGCAATTAGTCTTAGTTACCCATATCCATCATCCTAGTAATTTTTATTAAAAAAAGAAGTGCTTCCCAAGGAATAGTCCAAAAAGCCTAAGTAAATTACATGGAGGAAAAAATAGGTTTACAGCTATAAGTACACAAAACACAGAGTTTATTCTTGTGTTATTATTCATTAATTATTGTA